TACTAACGTTAATTCTGAGATATGATTCAAGCGTTATGAAGATCTATTTCAATTTGATTTTGCCAACCAAGTTTATGCTTGAAAAAAGAAGGTGCTACTTCGTAAATTGGATGCAACTGAGTTGGACAAGTATTGTAATCTGATCCTGCGTTTGAACCCACGTGACTGATCATTTACAGACACAGTTCAGACATTAAGCCAACATTTTGACAATAACTCGTCACTGTTTATTACTCGTTATCGATGCTTAAAGCTAACAGTGAACGAATATGATTATTTTCTTACGCATGTGAGCGTCGTCAACTGTGAATGCGAACGCTTTCGGTTAAAATCTTTGACTGAAGACCAGTTTAAAGCCCTGATCCTTATTTACAGCCTGCAACGCCAAAATTTCAGTCACTTACGAACAAGGCTACTTAGTCGGCTTGATCAAGAGCCAAAACTCACCCTGAGTGATATAGCTAATGAATATCAACGTCTAATTAATCTGCAACGAGACACTTCTGTGGTTCAGAGTGGTGGTTCTAGTCGATCTAAAGTACGAGCGGTGCAACAGGAGACCTACAAAAACAAATTCGTCCCTGTTTCATCCAGTCCATCCCACTCCAGTTCGAGACGTCAGACTAAAGCGTATCCCGCTACTCCTTGCTAGCAATGTGGTGCATGCCACTACGTTCGACACTGCCCATTTATGCAACATGGATGCAAGAAGTGTAAACTTAACGGCCATTAGGATGGGTTTTGTCTGAGGAAGAAGAATCCAAGTCAATCCAGAAATACCAAAAAGACCCTTCCTACATCCCGCACCAATTCATTAAGATTAGTATCTTCATGTCAAAGCTCATCACCAGGTGACAGAAGATTTATTACTGTTAATCTTAATGGGCATTCATCCAGATTGCAAAAAGATCCTGCTTCAGGTGTCACTATCCTCTCACGTAAGACTTGGACCAAAATGGGGAGCCCAAACTTGAAGCGTAAAATGCAAAAGCCTCGTGCTGCATGTGGTAATTATCTTTACCTGCTAGGACAAATGGAATGTACAGTTACTTTCCGTGATTCGGCGTTTGTCGGGGTATGTTACATAACGCCAGCTGATCTAAATTTACTCGGTTTAGATTGGTTCGATCAGTTAAAATTAGCTGATGTTCCGTTGAATACCATATACAACCTGGTATCACAACCCCAACTACGACAACAACCACATGACGTGGAAGCATATACGAGGAACTTAATGATGCAGTTTTCAACTATTTTCCAGCCTGGATTGGGTCAGTACTCTGCTATTGAAGCAACGCTTTGATTGAAAACTGAAGCTAAGTCTGCCTTTCGTTCAAATAGACCTGTGCCTTATGCAACATTACAAACAGCAGATGAAGAATTGAATCGCCTTCAACAACAAGGAGTTATTACTCCCGTTTCTTACTCTGCATAGGCAGCACCTGTAGTTGTTATCAAGAAAGCCGAAGGCACGATTTGTATATGTGCTGACTTTTCAACAGGTCTCAATGCAGCTCTGAAACAACATCATTATCCCCTGCCTGTTCCCGCAGACCTATTTACCATGCTGAATGGGGAAAGGTTTTTGGCTAAACTGGATCTAGCTTATGCTTATTTGCAAGTGGAAGTAGATGAAGCATCAAGAGAGCTGATAACTATCAATATCCATCGTGGTTTGTTCCAGTATAACCGTCCACCTTTCGGGGTCAAAACTGCCCCATCTATTTTCCAGCAATTAATGGATACCATCGTATCAGGTATCTCGGGAGTCGCGGCTTATCTGGACGACATTTTAACTGTAGCGACGACGTTAGAACAGCTACGAGAACGCACGACATTGGTATTGCAACGCATCAGTGACAAGGTTCCGGTACGCTCGAGAAATGCCGTTTTATTTGCAGTCGGTAAAGTATTGGGGTTGTTTTCGATGCTGACGGTCGCAGATCGGATCCTGAAAATATCCTGCCTATCAAACTGATGCCCACTCCTCCTAATGTCTCGGCTCTACGTTCCTTCCTGGGACTTGTCAGCTATTACTCAGAGTTCGTTCCATCGATGCATGATATTCGCGCTCCACTGAATAGCTTAATGCAGAAGAACAGCTCATGCAACTAGTCTAAAGAGTGTGACGCTGCACTTCGTAAACTAAAGTCCATTATTAGTTGGGAATTGTTGTTGACACACCACGATCAAGTCATGCCGATCATCGTAGCGGCAGATGCTTCATCTTATGGCCTAGTCGCTGTTATCTAACATCAATTTCCGCTTGCGTCGGAAAAGACCGTTATGCATGCGTCACGCATTCTAACCTCAGCAGAAAAAAATACAGTCAGATAGAAAAAAAGCTCTTGTGCTTTTGTTTGCTGTGCACCGTTTTCACAAGTTCCTGCACGGTCGGATATTCACGCTTCTCACAGATCACAAGATTTAGCTCGCAATATTCGGGTCAAAATCTGGCATTCCAGCTCATTTTGCAAATAATCTTGAGAGATGGGCCTTAGCACTCTCGAAGTATGATTTCGAGATCCAGTACCGACGCACCCAAAAATTTAGTCGTGCGGATGCTTTATCACGACCAATTCGCGACCAGTTGGCGGCTGAGAAGAACACTGTAGTCGCTTCTCTGCCAGCAGAAGACCATGCCAAATGTTTTCTGACGACCACAATACGAACGTTTCCGGTATCTGCAACGGATATACGAAATGCTCCTAAGAGCGACCCCATCATCAAGATGACTATGAGCTGTGTCATCAACGGTTGACTGTCTACGAAGTTTGATGGTGACATGAAACAGCTGTATCAGCGGTGGGATTTGCTATGTATTGTAAACGACGGCTTGATGCTCGGAGAAAGAGTGGTTGTGCCAGAATCCCTTCATGCAAAAGTGCTGAAGCAGTTCTACCTTGATTATCCTTGGGTCAGAAGAATGAAATTCATTGCCAGGAGACATGAATATTGTCCGCTAATGGATCAAGGTATAACAGAATTGGTCGCGAAATGTATTTGGTGTCAACAAGAGGCAAGGATGAACGCCAAAGTCCCATCAGTTTCATGGACACAACCTGATCATTCTTGGTCCAGGATACACGTCGACTTTGCAGGCCCGATTAACGGAAGCATGTATCTAGTTTTAGTCGACGCCCCTTCGAAATGGCCAGAAATAAACCCTATAATACCGCCAACGACGACTAAAACAATACGAATCCTCACAGAAATTTTCTCCCGAAATGGTATACCGGATGCCATTGTATCTGACAACGGTTCACAGTTCACCTCCAGCTAATTCCAGTCATTCTGTCAACGGCTGGCCATAAAGAACTTTCGGTCGCCATCATACCACCCGCAGTCGAACGGGCAAGCAGAAAGGTTTGTGGATACGTTTAAAAGAGCTTCGGCTAAGTCAAAAGGGGAGGGGATGACAGCGGACGCGCTGCAAAATTTCTTATATGTATACCGAACAACACCAAATGAGACGTTGCCGGAGCGAAAGTCCCCAGCAGAGATCCTCATGGGAAGAAGACTGAAGACGATCCACAGCCTGATGCATCCAAGTAATGCACCGACACCAGAACGGACAAAGTTTGAAAAGCAATCCACGTACGAAGTGGGATGTCCTGTGTTTGCCCATGACTACAGATCAACCCATGGTCCATGGACGGAAGCGCGAGTGGTCAGAAGAGTTGGCCGAGTCATGTACGAAGTTGAGGTAGGCAGCGACAGGTGGCGACGCCATCGGAGTCAGTTACGCAAACGGCTAGCCCTAAGACCGCCCATCAACCGAAGCAAATATTCCCCTTGACATCCTGATAGACACATTCAACTTACAGGCAGCTCCACCACATGAAAAACCTCAACAACAAGCTGAAACACGTTCCAGACTGTGGGCTCTCCGACAGCGGCGAGTAATAGTCAAGATGCATGTCGACCCCAATAAACGCACGCAATTAAAAAGGGGAGGAGTGTTGGGGACGTTAAATCCCCAAAACTCATATTTTGTAATTTTATCTTGTGGAGCTTGTATGCAGATGTATGTTTGGGCATTTCTTACCACCCACGCACATAGTCGATTGACGAACTTATCGATTAAATGTTTAAAAACTTCCATGGCAAGATCGATTATATATATTTTGTATAAATACGCTTGATTCGTGTGCTTGATGGACCTGGTATCTTCTGGTTGTCTGTAGAATACACTTTCTACATCTTACCAAGACTTCTGGATCGAGTTAGCTGAGTCGGGGACAACAGATCAGTATAGCCTATCGAGTCTCTGAATCCTTGATTCTTCGTTCCGTTCCGAGTAAGACGAATCACTAGTAGCATTGACGTTTAAAGAACATAAGAAGACTTAACTCATTTGTTTATATTAAACGGTTGTTCTGTAGCAGTTCGTTGTATATAAGCAGGGGCAGTTCATATTTTTCAGGTTATGATCGAAATTTCTTGTATTTTTTTCTTCTGAGATCTATCTTATATAAATTACCGTGATAATCGGTTAGCCAGTTTCATCAATGTTTGAAGATTTATTTATATTCCCCATTGAAATATTTTAATTTTCAGTTGTCCATTATAAACTGCAGATTGATACTTACTGTGACAACGTTTTTTTCTGGTGAAATTCGTAGTGCAGATGTTTGTAGCTACAAATGTGGATATAACTTTCTGACTTATAATGCGTCGCATCTCAGTCTAGCTGAATTAAAATCGTTAAGTCATGATGTTTGGTGCTGTTTTTCGCATCTTATATGGATTTAGCTGCCCATATTTCGAACCGAAAAAGCCGAAAGGTACTTTATGTTAATTGGTTGAAGTGTTCTTAACACAGCCGAATCAAAGTTTATTTGTAAAAGGCCTGTTGTTTCTGTCATCCAATTTTGACTTGTTTTGCTTCAGAATAGGAAATTCTTAATCGCTAATGCATATCGATTTTAGTAGTTACTTACATAAATATTTTGATTTTCAACTATTTTTATTGTTGGCTGTTCTTTCATATCGTTCAGCTACTAGCATCGGAAGTTCTCCGAAGAAAGGTGTGGTATGTGCTGCAGTTTTGGGCCCAGGAGGTACAACGATTATTCCTCGACCCTTGTCATTGCGTCCTAATTGGTCGGGAAATCCGCGTTTTGGTGGGATGGGTTCCACATCCTTGTTAAATACGGGTGTAGGTCAAGGTATTTCAGATCAACTGTCATACTGTTTGCCACCTCCCGCTCCTGCACATTTACAACTTCCTATATTACCGGAACCTCACACTTTCCTAAATACACGTGTTAAACGAGCACCGATTGCTTCTGATCCGTCTTCATTACGCCGTCGTGTAGTTGAACAACGTCGTAAAGTTCAAGAGTCCTTAATTCGATTTTTGGGTCGTGTTCAGCGTGTTCAATACCTATTTCCGGGTGATGCTGAATCGTTCATGTGTATGCTATTTCTCTTTCAACCAAATTTAAATTGTGTTTTTTTCTAGTTACGTTTCTTACGATGATAAGTTTTTTCAAAGCACTAACAATTGTTACTATTGGGATGTAGATAAACAGAAAACAATATTACTTTTCAGTCATAATTCACATAAAAGCTGAAACGAAATAATACTGCACTTTGGAGTATTTCAGCAACATTTTAAATCATATTTGCTACCGGATACTAGTTAGTTTAGCCTATTTTTCTATGAAGTACGTGCTAATGATATTGTGTACTAGGACAATAGAAGTTTCGCAACTAAGCCATCCAACTCAGAGAACACAACATCTCCAACATTCTCACTTTCAGATACAAATAAACTCCATCATTTGGAAAAAGTCATCACCAATCTAACCATGGTAGTTCGTCAACCGAAATATTTACTTACAGAACAATGAAAACCAAATAATTAGGCGATATGTCACAAAATATAAAATTATGAAAAGAGGAAAATTAGATAGTAATTAAAAAATTAGCAGAATAACACACTGAAGAAGTTGCTTGTATAATAAAAAAGGTAGCACAACATATGCTAACTTTATTTCTAAGATATATCTGCTAGTATATGGAGTTACATGGTCGTCCAACTTTTGAAAATCTATTTTATTAATTAGGATTTCTAAAGCAGATAATAATCCACTAAAACTATTCATGCGCCTCCAAAATTATTGCAAAAGAACATGCAGCAAATAGTCTGTCAGCAATAATTTGATAAATCCAAAATGTGGATTAAACAAAGTATTTCATAATTAAAGATGGTGTGGGGTACAAGAAGCTGTTCACTACCTAATTGATTACAATTCTGATTTTTATGATTTGTCACATGAAACACATAATTTGGTTGTAACATTATATGCAGTCAAATGATTCATTAAAATTAATTTCAAACACCGATTTCTTATGTAATAGTAGTAATGGAAAAATAAATGTAAGTAATACGATCTTTGAAGGTAAACAACAGTTGACCAACGATGGTATGGACCATAAAGTTCGGTTTAAGGATTCTCCATGCAATTGGTTCCCTTTATGAATTTAAATAGAGCAAGAACAAATATTGATGCAGAATAGTATGAATTCATATTATTTCTATGTAAAAAATTCTATCATAATTAAGGATTTTCATTTGCTTATCTAACTACATTTACGTTTTTGGGTAATCTACAATATTAATATATATAATGTTCGTGTTTATGTGTTTTTATAATGATATAACTTAAGAATAAGTAATATATTTTTTCGTTTCTATTTTATGGCATAAAATTAAAATCAACTATGTACAGTGATCACTCCAAAAGAATCACCTCGTCCATATCTATCAGCTCTACTTGCTAGTGTAACCAACGACTGTGATATGAAAATTTCAATGACAGACAACAAAGATGACCAAAATCTTGTAAAGTCTAAGTCAAACGTTTTTGTAAATAGTAATTCTAATCAATCTCCTGAAACGAAAAATCCATTTTTATTAAAACCAAAATTTCCTGAATACTGACCAATGCTGTGATTAGATATACACTTTGTACATATTCCTTTAATATTTTTAGATAAACCTACATAATAAATTCTTTATAATTTTCGAAAATTGGATTTAGCGTGCTTCATTTTTTCAAACTAACTAGTTGGAGAATGGATGTGATTTTTTTAAGAATAATACGTTTGATCTGTGCATCAATGCAACAAAAGCTGACGAACGAACGCAATATTATTAGATGACTAGGGAGAATTAAGTATAAAGGGATAATATCGTTATTCATCGCAGGTAATGGAAGACGGTCGTACAGTATGGCGAATTAATTGAAAGTAGACATGTACACCATTGGATGCCAACTCAGTGATCTAGAGGTTCAGTGTATACGCGCGAAACCGAAGATTCTGAGGTTGGTTCCTAGTGGCAGGGTCATGGATGCACACTCCTGAGCCCCATACTAGAACGAAACAACTGTACAATGCTTTCAGTGATCTAGGTAATATCGTTTAGTGGTTTAAAATATGAAAATATTATCCTTAATTTGATCTTCGTCAGGCGTTACTCTAATTCGCTACCTCATTATATATATATAATATCGAACTTGATATGACGTGATTTCATCCTAATTAACAGTCAAAATGGATGTACAATCAATATATAAATGAGTGTATTTTCGACTAGGGTCGTCGTCGTGTTTTGGGGTGTAATAAATCTTCACTTGTACCAGTCTTGGTGTGCTTCGCGTCGTGGGAATTGCAATGGTTTCTCATTTTAAAAGTATAAGTGAACTCGTTGTATTGAAGTTAGTTGAATTGGTCAGTGAAATATGGATAGTAGCGAGATAGTGTAGATCAGCAGTTCTGTTACCCAGCAATCCTTGGTTTGATATTTGCTTAGGCTAAGGTCGGTTATAAGTTCCATTGATCGTCTTTGTTCGTTTATGCATATATCTTGATTTTCTCTTAATTACTATCATTATGTTATCTTCATAACATCACGTAACTTTGGAGAGCATACCTCTTGGTACTAGTGCTCCATTGGATATTTTTAGCAAATAACAATTAACCTTATTACCATTTATCCAAAATTCTAGATTCTGTCTTCGATCTATTGGTTAATTGTTCTCATTTGGATTCAAACCGAATAATCGGAGAATGACTGATATCACGAAGATAGTACTGATGAAAGAGAATAGGTCAAGGTTATTTTAAAGAGGCCATTTAAGTGCTGACTCTGTGGAACTATTAGTTGCACAGTTTTTTAAATCCTATATTGTATCATTGACGGTTACTTTAATGATTATGTTTAAATGAAAAACGACTGGAATTAAAGTCTTATTGTTAGGGACGATTTTGAACAACACAGTTACTTATTCAAAATGAATGTGGGCTTCAAACTGACTGACGTAAGTTTATATTGTTAAGTTGAATCCAAGATGTAGTTGTTTTTATTAATAAAATGATTACGTAAAAAATATAATGAATTTTATTATGTCGAAATTGTATTTACCTACATTCAAATGTTTGAGTTTTAATATATGTATACATTTCTAGTCGACTGTTAAAAAAACTAAGTGTTTTGTTGATCAATTCAATTGATAAACCCTGTTATGCAGAATTTGTAATTCCTCAACTGATTGTAGGAATTTATTCAGAAAGTTTCTCATGCATGACTCCCACGTTTCAACTTCACATTGTATTGATGAGCTTGTTTTATCTAATTCTGGATTTTGTTGCAGTAATTGTTCTTCTTGATCAATAAACCCATCTGGTATTTCTTTTTGATTTTCAGACTTATCTATCTGAATTTAAAAAGTAATAAATATATAAGCATTTTCATCATTAAGTTTCATCCGCTGGAAAGTAAGAGAGAAATAGATTGCTGTTTCGTTCTATTTTTTTTAACTTTTCGGGAACACATGATTCCACAAGGAACCGAATTCATGATCGTCTGTAAGTATGAAGCTTTCATTGATTAAATCGGAATCCGAATCTATATTTTCTGACCTCACTTGAGTTGCTATATAGTGCTGCCAGCGTCCTATGTCATCAATGAGGTTAACTTCAGTCTCAATATATTTGAGTTTCATATTCTATAAAACCGTCATACAATCACTACGGTTACTAATGACCATATCCTTTAAGATGGATCTCAATAAATCCCAGTGCTAAGTCATAACTTATAGAGCTAGTTAGTTGGGAAGTGTGACAATCCACCTAAAATATTAAATGGTGATCTCTTGATTGGAATTGGGCAAATGAATCACTGTTTTTCGACATGGCAGATCTATTATATCATGCTCGCCCCTAGTTCTGAAAAAAAAGGATTCCATTTTGTGCGTTCACAATATCGGGTAGTTCTAAACGCCGACAAATGAAAGTTTATTACTTCCTAGTTTCTAATTGTTCTGAAGCTCAGGTACTTTCATGTTGTACAAAATATTCATACACAAGTTAGTAAGTAAACATATATATTGCAGGATATCAATTAAGAAAGATTGAAAGCCAAAATATTGATAGTTCATATCGTAGGACTTTTTATTGGTAAGCATCTATGAAATTGTACAAAATTATGCCTGTAATTATTGGTAATAAATTACATTGATTTGAATTCAATTAACTAGTACTTTTGACTTTAATGAACTAATCAAGTATAAACAGATATATCCTCACAGCTGGATGGGCTTCAGTTTTCTAATAAGACTAATGATTGTTTATTAGTTCTACAATGATGAAACCATTTACCACGTATTGTATATATTTTAATATTTGTCCTACAAATTCACGTATATGTATTGTCTTTAAAGAAATTAGTTCAAATGATTTTAGTTATAAATGTTACTGAAGAGCCCTTATTACTTGTCACATAGATCAACCAAATGCAATTCTGAATAGCAACAATAACCTGAAAGTACAAATTCTTAATATTACTATTAGCAGTACAGCAATAACATTTGTAATTTGCTTTTAATATAAATCATGGGGAATACTTATATATACCACACTTTTTAGAGAAACAGTCATTCACATGAATGTCACTAGATATATATTCATATGTTATTTTTATTTCTATTGATAAATTATCATGAAGTTGATGAAAAAAAAGATTCAGTAAAGATTTTAATCACAGGAACCTGCTCAAGAGTTTGGGTCACGTATTTTCTAACTGTGCAGATATTACAATTAACTTAACTGTATTAGATTCGTTTGAATTGAATCATAATAATTACTAACTATATGAACTTTTAGTGACCCTGTATCTGGCCCGAATTAAATCATATGCTTATTGTTATCGAAATAATACATACTGCCAACTCTCGTATATTTTTATCGACTTGGTTCGTGTTAGAGAATAACGAAATGAAATAAGTTAAATACAAGAATGGATTTTGGGTATGTATACTTCTTATACTCATTTATCCAGACAGACAATCAAGGAAACGAAGTGATGCTAAGCGTAGATAGAGGGTGAGCCAGGTCGTTCTGATTAAGTGTGACTCAATATTTATAGTCAAACTAAGATAAATTACAGACACACAATGAATGAAGCAAACGATTAACTCACATACCATCATATTAAAACAGTCGTGGTTAATCAGCAAAACAATAGCGACGTCAAAATGTGACTTGAGAATAATGAATAATTTGGTCTGTCCAGGAGCTAGAATAACCTATTTGGGCTTGACATAGTAGCAGCCGCTACAAACTCACATATTATTACAACAGGTTACAAGTTATTATTAATAAATCAAATACTGGAAAATTCGAACACAAACAGAACTGTTCTTGGCGGGGTACCCATTTTATTGACTATTTTATAAAACGAGAGACGAAACTATTTTGCATTTCAAGCACTTTATATATGATGAATGGGAAAAATTGGTTATAATAGTTGTACCAGTAAAAAAGTCTAATGAATAAATACAGACGTCAGGTACTGACAGTTGAAAAAAAAGATATATTTCGAATAATTACAATTTCAGTTCATGGTATAGGTATGTTTGTTGTAATATTCAGTAATTAGTGCTGAGATCTCTTTACTGTGACAAAATTTTGATACAGCTTTTAACTGAACGCTTGAATCGGTTTCCTAAGGTCCTCTAGTAACCCCATGTTAAATCTACATGACTACGTGAACACGAGTGAAAAGGCGCGAAATGTGGAAAGGACGCTTTACTCCAAGGTTGGTCTATATACAGAAAGTCGAGGGTATTTATGGCATTTCAGATGGCCTTGGGCTTCTGGAATGTTCTTGAACCCTACTAAACATGGTGGCAGGACAATCACAAACGTGACACATCACTCTTCACTTCCTAGAAGTTTCTGGGACACTTCTGTCCACTGGTGATTGGATAGAATGTTTTCCAGCGTTTTCATGACCACTAGGTATTTTTGAGGAATACTGTGGATCACCCTGACAAATTTATCTTATTGAATAGGGCTGCTATTATTATTATTATCATTACCACTATTATTACTACTACTACCATTATTATTATTACTGCTATTACTATTATTATTATTCCTGCCATTATTATTACTACCATTATTATTATTATCATAAGCTTACTTCCGGTGATATACTGATTTTTCGATTTTCTGCACCTCGTTTTGTTTTGCTTTTCTTTTTGTTTTTTACCAGTATTACTTTTTAATTGCCTTGATGTACTTGGTCTACGTGATAATCTTCGATTTACTGAAATATGAATAAATGGGAATATTTCATAGTACAGTATGATGAATAGAACAGAATGAACTAAACTAAATAAAGAAATCATCATGTTTATTCTGTTGTCAATGTTTCCATGAAACTAGTTCATCAAAATAGTGAATGATTTTAGGATTTGTGTTACTTGAATTATATATCTAGTGTTGAGCAAATGTTTTAGTATCATTAACCCTATCGGTCATAAACAACTTAGAACCGGGCACCTTTGTACACTGGTTCACAATATCACACTAGACCAGCACAGCAATATAAGGTCATCGAGACAAATCTCACAGCAATAGAAAGATTGGGTATATACAATCTGATTCGAGAAGGAATTCATTTGTGCAATAGAAAAGTATCATATAATTTTAAAATTTAAGATCTAGAAGAAGTTCAAAAAGAGTGAATGCACGTATTGTATTGAGATTGATACTGACCCACTACACCCATAATTTACAACCATTGGTTATGATAATGATGAGGAATACAATCAAGTAGTCTGAAATTATCAACATGACAAAATTCAATAGGCAATGATTCTACGAATTAAAAGTATGCTTAGGTTTGACCAGTCTTATCTTTCTTACAACTTACCCATAATTCAGGAAATGTCGAACATAGATGGTAAGTGGTGATCGACCATAAATAAAAAATTCCCAAAAAACCTTAGTTTATGTAGATTTTGTCGCATCAACCCATTTGCATTCTTTATTCAGAATTCTGGGCTTAACTTCAGTATTGTTCACTTGATAGTTCAAACATACGCAAGTAATATATTGAAGACATATATAGTTGTATATTAGTAACTCACGAGTGTCTTCTGTTTTTAAAAACTACGTTTCATAGCGATAAGGTTAAACAAAATGAACTACCTCTCAGTATGCTCATCTATGTATACACAATTAGGTAAGGACTGGTATATAAATATGCACGAGCTGCATGTGTAATAATTCATTCCATAAAAAAAGCATGAGAGTAAGAACTTACGTTTAATAGTTAAATCTGACTTAATGGTTTTTATTTTGTTGTCAACAGTTTCTACCTGTGGTTCATCTTTTTCTAACATTAAAGTCAGCGTACAATGAATAAGAGCTTCGAAAAAGTCAAAAAATGTAAGCTGGAACAATAAAAAAAAGAAAACATTTATAATGATAGATAAAATTTATTTAAATAAACATTGAAATAAAAGTAAAAACAATCGACTTTTATTCCAAAAGATTCATCATCAGACAACCATTATAGGTTGTGGATAACTAGATGGCATTCATTTTATTTTCTTGAACTGAAACACAGTTCGAACTTGAAAAAGCTTTTATCTAGTCAGGGAAACCCACTGAGCATTGACCAGTATTATGTGAGAACATTTATCTTAATGGTACATATCCTTCTATTCATGCGATCATTCTTGATCTTGTTACTTAATAATTCTCTCTCTCTCTCTCTCTCTCTCTCTCTATATATATATATATATATATATATATATATATATATATATATATATATATATATATATATATATATATATATATATATATATCCCATTTGTTATTATCAGCTATTCATCTTTTTTTTTAAAGTTTCAACAGTTTAGTTGCAACAACTGCCTACTTCATCCATCATATTATGGTGTATATGATTTCCAATCTAATCTCTCCTCAATTCCTCAAAGTTTGTCAAAGGAGGAAAATACGCAGAAAAAAATTGCAGTGCTTTTATTCGATTTCTCCAGTATTTAATATCACTACACGTTATAAGTGCCTTACAAAGAGACACGAGTACATATGGCTAAAATTCATGATTATCTAATTGGAACAAATATTTATAAAATCTGTATTGACTGATGCTAATGGCAATATGTAGTATCATTAGAAACTGATATGCTTGAATACTATTACGAGTTCACCTTACTCAGTAAACGCAACGATGGTCAAAGATACAGCGACATGATAGGCTATTCTAATCCGTTGTCCCCGGCCCTCCTTACGAGATCAAGGAGTCTTGATAAGGCGTAGATAATGCATTCTACATGCACCCAGAAAATACGAGGTCACTAAGCACACAAATCAAGTATATTTATAGAATGATATAAACACCCTTGGGAGAGTCACAAAATAGTGTACTAAAAAATTTTTTCAACCAGTGACAGTCAAGGATTTTCGATTGGGAAATGTAACCTATAGATCAACTAAGCATCTCTTGGCGCGAAAACATAAAATTCAAATTTTCAGAATAAAATTACAAAATTAGGACCTTTTCTAGGTGAGTTCTGTGGATCTAACGTCTTCAACAGAAACCAACTTTCATTTGTTAAAACGGTAGGTTTTTAAGTTTTAGACTAAATCACTTAAAAGTTATTCAGATATTTACATCAACAAAAAATATTGCATAACATACATCTCAAAGTATATCGAATATTATTTACTCAATAATGATGTTCGATAAAAAGGATAGAAGTGAAGATCCATCACTTATTTTATAGGCTTTATTTTTACTCTTATATTTTATTACTTATTTTTTATTTAATTCCTGTTGTTATTAAAATTAGTCTCTGTTTATATTACTTTTCCCTTTAATTTGATCTTCTCAACCTCTTACTGCCAGGTATTTCATTTTTGATTGGTGTTACATACTACTTATGTTTGTCGACGTAAGTAGCATACACCACATATGTATTGTAACAATTGATTTTAAAGTTTATAGAAGATAATAAGTAAAATTAATCTAATAGCAAGGGATATTTTGAAAATATTTTAGAAGTCATTCAGTTTTGTATTGAATTTATTTGTACATTAGTTATATGTTTATATTGAATCTTTTACACAAATTTGGATTGTAGGCAAGCAACACTAAAACATATACACATCTTATTTCCAAAATTATTGAATAGTTTATTCATCGCGGCATAGAACAAAGTTCATCTACTGAAGTATAGTCAGATTAGTTAAATTGTTATGTACTAGTGAATTTTTATTTCAGTATATTTACACAGTGTCATCCAACCGATGTTGAATATAATTAATGGATGGATATCATATGAAAATTCTCAGTTATATTGTGTACTTAAATGGAAGTTATTTCTTCGATGAAAGAGTATTTTTGACCAAATTCTATTCTTATATACATTTTTTTTGTGATGAATTTATTTATGACGTAAATTTAACTTACCTCTGCATCAGAATTATATTCTTCTATTGTTCCGACTACTGGATTACATTTACACACTGCTTCAAGAACATCTTTAACTGTAAGCTTTCGATTTAATAAATTGAAATCCTAGAAAATAGTAGTTATAAAAAAATTAGGAATATAGAAATATGAAACTCTATTATTTCAAGGGAAAAAAGATTCGTTATCTATCTTAATTTCCCAGTAAAGAATAACCAGTATTATGTTAGTTAATGATTTAGTCTTGACAAAAGACTTTTAGTGATCACTTCCAATATTTATCCATTAATTTTCTAAGTTATCAATTAATATACATTCGTAATCAAATAGAATACTATAGGGGTTATGAAGTAAACAACATAACTTTGATTGTTTTACAATACAACTGAATAAATATACTTAATCCAGTTCTACAAGAGACTAGTTGGAAGGCTGAATTATTAAGTAGAAAATATTTTGTGTATGATAGTGAATGATATTCTTATTGAATGACTTTCATTATAAAAAAGCTATAATTATTCAGTTTATGATAAGTTAAAATGATTATATAGGAAAAATATGTTTCAATCAAACCATGATCATTATCGCTTTCAGTGTGTTGTGTGATATAAAGAAGTACTTTAACACTATTAATGACTTCAAATGAATAACACTGAAAGTCATATAAAAGTTATTCATAATACATACGATATTTTTTTATTATTGTAATCAACTGTGTAAATGAATTAGATCATAATTAATAGAGATTGCTAGGTCCTGAGTTCGAATCCAGCGAGGCGGGGTCGTGGATGCGCACTGCTGAGGTGTCACACAATAGAACGAAACGACCGTCCAGTGCTTCCAGGTTTTTCATGGTGGTCTAGCTTCAATTGGCTCATGATCTCAACTATTGAAACTACTACAATCTCCACAAAACCCCTTCTGATAATAAATAATAGGGAATTTATGGCATTTCGATGTGTTATAGTTATCGCTAAATAAATAATAAGGATTATTCTTGTCTGAGTTACTGAAAGTAATAATAAATTACCTTGAGAATAAAAAGGAAATTACGCACAGTCATAGTGTACGGTGGTGGATGTATTGACTTCTGAAACTTAACATTGTGAGAAAAGAAAGACCAGAATAAGTGTGTAACTTAGCATATATATATATCAAAAATTAAATATAGCTTATATCCCGATTAAAAGTTGGAAATTACAATTTTATGCGATAAAAACTACAGATCAAACCAGTATCCATAAAGCATATCTTTGTAATAATTATGTGCGCGCTTATAAATAGTTTAAAGATGTAGTCCAGATGTTAATTTGATAAGTCATGATTAATAGTGGGATATATATCATATAAACTATGTTACCATGATCTTGGTTCACTGTGGAGTTACTGATGATGAAAATGTGTGCCAATGAATTCTTACTTACTAGTTTACGGTTATTATGCCGGTCGTGAGATTTGAAAGAATTCAATTCGATGCTAGGGTTATCGGTGCACATCGACTTGGAGTCCCAAACTAGGATAAAAAAAACTTGTTCAGTGTTTCCTGAATATCACTTTCCTACCGAATGATGTTAATAAATGATGTGAGCTAAATTTCACTGAACAATCTTCATAGAACAAGTTAACTAAGTCTGATTCATCATTTTTATTGGTGCTTTGTGGACGTAATTTTAACTTACATTATATCAATTTAATCTTGATAATACTTAAGGAATTCTTCCTGAGTTACCATTGAATTCTAAGTGATATTCAGTAGTTTATTTCAAATCTATTAATTAATTAATTGTTATTACTTAATTCGGCAAATGATTGTTGTAATATAAATTATATTTTTGATGTAAAGTGATTAGTGGTAGTTTAAAAGAAACCATCCCAGATATTGTACATCAAAATATAGTTCATCTAATATTGAATTACTTAGACTACTTGTCACATTTATTCATTAATTCATATAGATAACTTATATTATTCTCTTTAGTTCATTGAAAATTCATTCTTGTATATAAGTAAATGAAACAAAATCTAACTCGAAACATGATTTACTAAGTACAAATTTATCTTTTCCAATAATAATTCTAAACAAATTTTTCTTACTTTTCTTTTAATTCGTACTAAAAATTTATAGGCTTGATAAAGTGGTTGTAGAAATACATTAATTTCTTTAGATTTTTCATTATCTTGATAAATAACACCAGAAAGTTTACATGCATTTGAAATAATTGCTTGTGTTAGTAAACAAAGTAATGCATCACTAGGCTTGCTAAAAAATAATAAATAAAATGATCATAAAACAAATCAAGATTGTTGATGAAATGAAATATAAACAGTTAAGATCATGAGTCAATTGAAGCTAGATCACTATGAAATACTTAGAACCATTGGACGTCCGTTTCATCTTATTGTAGGACTCCTCAGCAGTGCGCATTCATGACCCCGCCTCACGAGATTCGAACCCAGGACCTATCATTCTGGCGCCAGGCCCTTAACCAACAAGACCACTGAGCTGGCATCCAACGGTGTTAATGTTTAACTTCAACTAATCTACGAAATTCAGCGACAAATACACCATTGTCATCACTGAGTTACTACCTCACAACTGACGTGGTTCGACTCTACTGGTCACTGCTTCTCACTAGAACTCCAGGATATATATCTTGAAGTCAGTCACTAGTGAGCGTATGCTGATTAGTATCAGAAGGGTTTTGTGGAGGGTAAGCGCCTGGCACGAGACTGGTAGGTTCTGGGTTCGAATCCCGCGAGGCGGGGTTGTGGATGCGCACTGCTGAGGTGTCACACAATAGAACGAAACGGCCGTCCAGTGCTTCCAGGTTTTTCATGGTGGTCTAGCTTCAATTAGCTCATGATCTCAACTATTGAAATTACTACAATATCCACAAAACCCCTTCTGAAATGAAATATTTTGAGTTAATTAATTAATTTAGAATTTAAAGGAAAGCACTTTTTAATCCTTTGAATTTTTGAAGTTAGTTTTATATATATATATATATATATATATATATATATATATATATATATATATATATATATATATATATATATGGGCCAAATTGTTGTTTGTATTCGTAAAATATGAAAACCATACATTAAATACTTCATTTGCACATCTTCCATCAGCTTCCTCTTACAAAATCAATCGTTCTTTAATTTTTGTTGCTATTACTGATACTCCTTGCTTACATTCCTGTCTTTTTCAATTCGATCTTCTCAATCTTCTGCTGCCAGGTATTCCACTCTTGATTGGTGTTACATGCTACTTATATCTGTTAGCATAAGTAGTATGCACAAGTCAACTACTTCTAACTTCTCCGTTTATCGTTAACGCAATAGTGTTGATATAACTCGAAGTCGAATTCAATTCAACTTGAAATCATAGCTTATACTGGTTATTCAATCACAACTCCTTTATTCTACCAATGACTTCTTAATTTAGATTCCAACTTCTTTATTTGATAGATTTTATTGCTTTATATCTTACTGATGAAATGTGTTCCCACTATTAACTACTATTCGAAATAATATATTCGTTATGTTTGTCACTGTTAAGTTGGCTGAATGCTTAACTGATTTGTGTTCTGTACTGGGACCCCGAATCCTAAAAATCCTTAAAATAAATCAAAATGATGTATGATCACGCTACTTTTTATATGATATATTTACAGTCAGGTTTGTATAGATCGAACTGCTTAGTATTTATCATCAATTAACGAATAACTTAGTGTGTGAACACATATTGACCATATCATACAACTAAGTATCTGTCACTAACAAATATAACTAACTGATAAGGTACATTATTACTCTTTCTCAGAATGTAACTACGTGTCACAGACAATTGAAAAAATCCGTTTCATATGTTGTTTGCACTCCAATAGATATAGTCATTGCTCACCATACTGCCTCTACCATGAAATGATATAGGGTCTTTTTTGCTAATATTTGTGAAACAATGATACCATTGACTCCCATGGCAATCATTTTTATGTTTTATCTGAAAAGTGTGACTCGACTATTTCTTTGTCATCGTCTCATTGCCAAGTAAACGTCAATTTCGACAAAGTAATGAGAAGAGGGAGTTTATCAGAATTATGTGATATATGAATTCTAATAGTCAAATAAGATCGCAGGATAAACAGATATCATCATCCATTTCGCAACATTTGATTGAGACTGATCATAGGGTTGACATCAAGTCAGTATTTGTAGTGTTGTACAAAAGCCTTCAAAGACGTATACTAAGGTTTAATGAAGCCTTGGCCATACGGAAACTGGAACCCCCTTTATGAGTTCAAAAAAATTTGTTCTTACACTTAACCTACCCTGGTAATACTGATTCATTATCCAAAGTGATAATCGCACTTTTTTGTGTACCATATTTTTTTTGTTACCGCTTACCTTTAATCTGTCTAGTTGGTCTTTTATTTTTCATACAAAAATGTCTTATCAAGTATATGTGTGATCAGATTGTTCGAAATGTATTGCGCAAATATATCACATAATTCTGATAAACTTCGTCTAATCATTGCATTATCGAAACTTATCAAAGGGACTAGTTAAGCAAAGATGGATGGTGGCTAGCAGTGGAATCCAGAACGCACGTTTCGTCTTATTTGGGACTTTTCAGCTGGATTTGCCTGCAACCCAGACTTGAAATTCACTTCGGGACACGAACCCAGTACCGTTCGCTTCAAACGCCATCGCGTCCTCCACTTAGCTACCGAGTTTTAACAGCCACATCCAGCTGACGAGTCCCGAATAGAACGAAACGTAAGTCCTGGATTCCAATATTAGCCACTATCCATTTTTGCTTGAAAAGCTTGTGACTTAAGGCTATATCGAGGCAATCCGCACAGGATGTACATATGCCAACATGAGACTGACCAATCGTAGTCCTAAATAACAATCAGAAAATACAAGTAAAAGAACACCAAGTGAGTTTGACGGGACTAATTGTTTTAAACGCCAATATTTATTAATATCAAAGAATGAAAATGAATTTGAATGATGTAGAATATTAATATATAAACAATATTATTTGCTAGGCAACTAATACTTACATCTTAGTTATTTTTTCATGCACATAAGATTCTTCTTGAGTATACAAGTTACAAGCTAATATCACAAGAATATTTACAAATGTACCAAAAGAGATTAATTTTTCAGGATTTTGAACACAACTATCATCACCATCTTCAAATCCATATGATACAGCTTATAATTTAAAGTGAAAAATAAATCCATTTAAACAATCATCAATATTAAGTTCGTGGTTTTTTTACAAATAAAAATTCTACTCACAGATAAAATTTGAAGAAACATGAAGATGTTGTATAAATTCGAAACACTATGAAAGAACACTTTATAAACTACAATAATTAGTATTCTCAAAATGAGACTACTTTCTTTCCTGCATGATTTTTTTCTTTAAGTAATCATTGACAGTATTTGTTTTTTTTTATTCAATTGCATTTTAATAGTTTCATGTACACAGTTCTCAATAAAAAATCGTTTACTTTATAGCTTACTATGAGATTTATTTTCAAATCATTTGAATCAGTTGATAAATGTATACTAAGTTATAAAGATTTCCTTTATGAGAATATACTGTAACTTGGTAGATACCATTGTTAACCGCTGAATGGTGATTCACATAGTCAAATGTTTCTTTCATGGATGATAAACATAATTAACGAAATTATTTAGTAATTTTATTAAAACCTACTAAGTTTTAAAATTGATATGGTAATGAAATACATTGGAACTCTTTATGTATCACTGTGATAATCATATTGTCCTAAACTAAAATAAGATACAGAAAAAGTTCCCTATGATTTTCTAATAAATTTATCAAAGCAAACGAAATGACTTGATAAGTCAGATCCTGTTTAACCTTAGAGAGTGGAGCATAACTATATTAGATATCTAGTGTTCGATTCGTGTTTGTGAGGCGTAATCCAAGAAAGTCCAAGAGATATCTCTATATCACCATTGTGTTCTGAACTTCATAAATGTGAATTACGAGTGGTATGAGTAAATAGAGAGTTTAGTTAAAGATGGTAATGGTAAGGTTTAAATTTAAGAGTCTCGATCAAGCCTATTTTTATTTTATAAACTGTACTGTAAATTTCGAATAATTGAAAATTATTTTATTTTTAAAATTTTTCTTTCTCTAATTACGAAAGGTCTTATTGATTGAGTAACAAAAGAGTGAAAACAGATTTCATTAGCTGATTAAATTTTTAAAAGAGCAAGAACAAAGATACTTACTCTTTTCAAAATGATAAAAGGAACTATATGTATGAGATTAAATTTTTCATTTGATATAAAATATCAGCTATGGGTAAATGCATTTATCACTTTTTGCTGTGATGAGTGACTTTTCAACAACTACCAACGAGTCCGTATCAGTTGGTCATCGATCGACTCTGTAAAGACCACTATATTCGGTGATACGAATAGCCAATCAGAAATTACCGGATGGTGAGTGCACGTGACTGGCTAAAGAACCTTCTAAGTAACAATAGGCTTAATTTCTTAAGGGATATATATAGATGTCCACGTACTTACTAGGGTTAAATGAAATTTGTAAATTAGTGTCATAACTTGGGACAAGAATTTACAGTTGAACTGTAGGGTTAGGAATTAGAGTCAGGGATTTCATTACAAACTGACATCAGCTATAATGCTGAAATTCTATTTAGCTTTATAAATGAATGAATTTCGCCCCGAAATTCAATACCTGCTATTTTGGATCTGATTGGTTTGTCCATAAATTATAGTCTATCCCTGTGCAAACTATTTACTGTTCATTTTACCTTTAGGTTGGTCTACATTTCCTATAGATAGGATAATTTGTTGAAGTTTAAATTTAAATTTATAGAATTATTGTAGTAAAAATACCTACCAATTATTCTATCTAAGGCAGCTAAACTTGTATGTTGATGCAGTTTGCAATCTTTTAAAAATTGACAGAATTGAACATAACGTAGTATAATTGTATTATCTGGTAACTGTTTCATACCAAGTTTACCATAAAATCTATAAATACTGCGTAATTGAGTCAAATAAGCAGTTATTACATTTTGCATCTAAACAAATTAAATAAAGATGAAGTTTTAGGGAAAAAACCAATTTGAAAAGATGAAAACACTGATTTAAATGCTTTAAGAATGCGTCCATTACTAGTAAATATTAAATTATAGAGTGTAGTGGACACTACTCACAAGGATGTTTGTAAAAGTGTGTAGCGGGACGTGGCTTCGGAGTTGCAACAGATGTCAGATACATTAAAGAGTTTCAGTGCATCGAAAGCATAGATTTGGCAGAACACTTAGAGACCAGACGAGAAGATAGTTTAAATGGCAGAATACACCGAAAGATAAAAATAGACGATTGAACGCTAGGTATGTGTATTATGTAAGTACTTTGTAACTTATCTCCATAAACAAACATTCCTACAGGCTATTGTCCCATTTTACCAAAGTAAATGATCAACTAAAAATCATTATCTGCCAGCGCTATATAATTTTAACTCCACCTGGAGCCCCTCTGGGTTCACTGCCGATCCCAAGTCCGGATTAAGAAGGAGGGTCGGACATGGGGTTAACGGCTTCATCCCGTAGAAAAATAACTCGCTAAAAAACGCCAACCAGAAAAAACTGTTCAAAGCATTTAAACTCTGCCCTGAGAGTCAGAAGGTCTTCATTTAGAAGAGTTATGACGCCTCGTGATCAAAGCCCAGTTCCTTCGGAAGTCACGAGGCTGATGCCCATTCTGACAATCACGGCAGCCATTTATCTAGGTACATGGAAGGCCCGTACAATGTGGTACCCCGGGGGAGCCTTCCAAATTGCTGCAGAAATGAGGAGATACAACCTAGAGGTGCTTGGGATCGGTAAAACACATTGGACGCAAGTTAGACAACAACGACTAGCTTCAAAAGAGCTTCTGTTATACTCCGGCCATGATGAAGAAAATGCCCCACATACACAAGGAGTTGCATTGATGCTATCCAAACAAGCACAAAATACGCTTATATGATGGGAATCTCATGGACGTAGGATTATCAAAGCCTCATTCAAAACAAAGAAAGAGGGTATTACGATGAACGTCATCCAATGCTATGCGCCTACCAACGACTACAAGGAAGACGCTAAAGATCAATTATACCATAGGCCGCAGTCAATCATCGAGAAGTGCCCAACAAAGGACCTGACCATTCTGATGGGAGACCTAAATGCCAAGGTCGGAATGGACAACACCGGATATGAAGACATCATGGGACGACACGGACTGGGAGAAAGGAATAAAAATGGTGAGAGATTCGCAAACCTATGTGCCTTCAATAAACTTGTCATATGCGGCACTATATTGTCACATAAACGCATTCACAAAACCACATTGACTTCACCGGATCACACTATGCAAAATCAAATCGACCATATCTGCATCAACTAAGATTTCAGGAGGACGATGGAAAACGTGAGAACCAAGAGAGGAGCTGATATAGCATCAGGTCATCACTTGCTGGCCGTCAAGATGAAATTGAAACTCAAGAAGCACTTGACAACGGGGTGCACAACATCACAAAAGTTTAATACGGCCTTTCTTCGAGATACTGACAAGCTCAACAAATTCAGGATAGCCCTCAGCAATAAGTTCCAGGCCTTTCATGATCTACTCAATGGAGAGGGAACTACTATGGAGAGCAAGGAGATCAAAGAGGCAATCACTTCACAAGAAGCACCATCACAAGGAATGGATCACTGTTAATTCACTGGATAAGATTCGAGAAAGAAGGAACAAGAAGGCAGAAATCAATAGCAGCCGAACAAGAGTAGAGAAGGCCAAGGCAAAAGCTGAATACACAGAAGTAAACAAGCAAGTGAAGAGGAGCAATAGAACCGACGAACGTAAATATGTGGAAGATTTAGCAATGACGGCGGAAAAGGCTGCAAGAGAAGGAAACATGAGACAACTGTATGACATAACAAATAAACCCTCTGGAAATCACCGTAAACCAGAACAATAAGTGAAAAGCAAGGAGGGCAAGGTGATCACCAACATTGAAGAACGAGCAGGTGGGTAGAACACTTCAAAGAACTCTTGAATCGACCAGCTCCACTGAACCCACCCAACATTGAAGCAGCACCCACGGACCTCGCAATCGATGTTGGCCCACCAACAATTGAAGAAATCAGCATGGCCATCAGGCAAATCAAGAGTGGCAAAGCAGCAGGACCAGACAACATTCCAGCAGAGGCACTGAAAGCAGACGTAGCGGCAACTGCAAGGATACTCCACATTCTCTTCAATACGATCTGGGATGAGGAACAAGTACCAACAGACTGGAAAGAAGGACTTCTGATCAAAATACCGAAGAAGGGCGATCTCAGCAACTGTGATAACTACAGGGGCATCACTCTTCTCTCAATACCAGGAAAAGTCTTCAACAGGGTATTGTTAAACAGAATGAAGGACTGCGTAGATGCCCAACTTCGTGACCAACAGGCAGGATTCCGTAAGGATAGATCGCGTACAGACCAAATCGCAACTCTACGGATCATTGTGGAACTATCAATTGAATGGAATTTATTACTCTACATCAACTTCATTGAGTACGAGAAAGCATTTGATAGTGTGGACAGGACAATATTATGGGAGCTTCTTCTATACTACGGCCTACCTCAGAAGATAGTCAACATCATACAGAATTGCTATGATGGATTAAACTGCAAAATCGTGCATTGAGGACAGTTGACAAAGTCGTTCGAAGTGAAAACCGGTGTCAGGTAAGGTTGCTTACTCTCACCCTTTCTCTTTCTTCTGGTGACCGAATGGATCATGAAGACGTCAACATCTGAAGAGAAGCACTGGACGATCTAGACTTCGCAGATGATCTGGCTCTTCTGTCGCAGACGCTACAACAAATGCAGGAGAAGACGACCAGGGTAGCAGCAGCCTCAACAGCAGTAGGTCTCAATATACACAAAGGGAAAAGCAAGATTTTCCGATACAACACAGCATGCACCAATCCAATCACACTTGACGGAGAGGATTTGGAAGATGTAAAAACCTTTACACATCTAGGCAGTATCATTGATGAACACGGTGGATATGATGCAGATGTGAAGGCGCGGATCGGCGAATCAAGAGAAGCATACAATTGAAGAACATTTGCAACTCAAAACAACTGTCTGTCAGCCAACACCAAAGTCAGAATTTTCAACACAAATGTCAAAACAGTTCTACTATATGGGGCGGAGACTTGGAGAACTACGAAAGCCATCATGCAGAAGATACAAGTGTTTATTAATAGTTGTCTACGCAAAATACTTCGGATCCGTTGGCCAGACACTATTAGCAACAACTAACTGTGGGAGAGGACAAACCAGATCCCAGCGGAGCAAGAAATTAGGGAGAAGCGCTGGAAATGGATAGGACATACATTGAGGAAAGCACCTATGTCACAAGGCAAGCCCTCACATGGAATCCTCAAGGCCAATGGAGGAGGAGACGAAGACCAAAGAACACATTACGCCGAGAAATGGAGACAGACATGAGAAGAATGAACAACAATTGGATCGAACTAGAAAGGAAGGCACAGGACAGAGTGGGCTGAAGAACCTGGCCGGCGGCCTATGCTTTATTGGGAATAACAGACGTAAGTGAGTAAAGTAAAGCGACATAATTTTGGTGATTTAAAATTACGATTGATTAAGTCATTAAATCATACAAGATACCATTTATCTAATTTTATTGTAAATATTTTAGTTATTGACTAATTAGTTAAGACTAATTCTCACCATGAATTGATACCCGTCAAAATCATAGGTTCAGGATTTTTTAACAGTTCATACCTGTGATGCTATATGAGTTTAAATAAAAAACTGACAAGTTTCTGGAAGAGGATGATAAGTCTAAGCTATTGTGGTTGAAAATGTTATCAGTTCATTTGTGACTCATTGGATAAAAGTATTGTATTTATTACAAGATCTGCATATCTTTAATACCATACTATGTGAGGTGGTAATTACGGTTTTTTAATAAGTCCAAACTTAGAATCAAATAGTTTTTCAAGTAGTACTTTAATTGTTTAAAAAACTTGGAAAACTGACAAGTTATAGTCTATTTTTTATACTGAGTTACTATTAACTACAATTGGTTACCTATCAGTATTTGGTGGTTTTTAAAACATGATAACTATCTTTCGAATGGAATAAATAATCACACATCGATTGTAAATCGGTTCAAAGAATAATATTACATAAACCTATCCATTGAATAATGCGATGTAATCAAGTATTTTTTATTTGTGTGATGAGAGAAACTTTATCGTCATCTTTTCCTGGATCCATTAATACAGAAACTTTGTACATAACAAATCAGTGGAAATTGTAACAGACATGATTGATTCGTGATAAATCAAAGTAATTTTTTTAAATTATAGATAAAGAACAATTTGAATAAAATTAGAGAAAAACCTACATTCTGTAATTCTGAATGAGTGTAATCTGACGGTGATATATGAGGTTTCAGATAATTTTTCAACAAATTACTGTCTGATGTATCTTTGAGTATACTACTTTTCTCATTTGGATCGGATAAACATTCTGAAACAAACATGAAAATGTGGTTACAAAATCGTTATGATAAAACACCCTATATTTAGTTGCTACTTTACTATGTTGACAGTTTTATCATGGAAAGTGTAAATAGGCAACATGATATCACAAAGTTCTGCTCTATAAAATAGGCAAATATAATTAAATGTGTACTTATTTCTACAACTTGGTGGGTAAATTAAAAAAATAAACACTGATCAATAGAATAAGAGCTTCTGTGACTTCAAAGAGTAAGCGTAGATAAACTTTATGACAACTGGAATATCGGGACGAAAGATGATACAATGATCTATTTGTTGTAAAATACAAAATTACAGTTTAGATATGTAGGTAACTCAGAAAAATACTCTTCAGCACTAAGCGAAACAATCAAAAGCACTTGAACTGAGGTTCAGTATGGCTATCGCATATAGTTTTAATATAGATAGTAGTTTATACTGTTCAGCTAGAATGTGAATGCTTAAGTCATCCGGAAGGGTTGCGTTTAAGTTTGAACTTTGAACAATCGGAGAGCCATAATTTTGATTTTACCTACCTGTAAAGCGTTTCTTGAATGTTTATAACTATTCCTATGGAAATTGTTAAGCACTGACTGCAGTTCTCGCGTATAGCGTAGAAGATTCCGGATAACTTCACAAAGTTATCTCAATTATTTATAAGTTCTCATCACAGTTTAATTATAATCTATTTTTTTAGAAAGCACGAAAGTATATCAACACATCTCCTTTAATAGAAAGATTCACAAGTTGTCAGCCTATTTAGTTCAACCTATATACAAAAACTCATCTGATATCATTAAACCTATTCAGAACCATTATTTATAGATATCCATGTTGAATGAACGTTACTTAACACTTGAGAGGTATCAGTGTCTTTTCATACATTGAGGTGTGCCTCGACCAGTTACCAATCCAAGGGAAAACACAGTTTAATGGCTGGTGTTTGTTTATTTATCATATACTGATTCTACAGACTAATGATGTTGCATAGTGTGATAATTCGGTTCAAATGTTTTTTATAGAGATTTAATGTTTTGAATAAAAAGAATTAATACAGTCTGTTATTATCTATTAGTTCAATAAAAATTAGCCTAGATTTTTTGCTTTCATCATTACGCACATAGAATTTCACCTATTCGAAAAATGCCAAACTGTTGTTATTCTCTATACTACTACTTACTAGTAGCTCAAAAATCTGTAGCAAAAAATGTTGGTGTATTTTATTTCATTATTTGATAACATGCAAAACTTACCTGTGACAAGTGGTATACGTGTATCTAATCTCTCTAAACTTAGCTGATCAACACTTGAGGGTAATGAATCAGAGTTTTCATCGATTAAACGATCTTCATAAAATGTTCTTTCGAATATTCGTCCATCTTTAAGTATCAATGTACCCTTTAGAAGACGGTAAATATGAAGAAAACAAACTTACAGAATTAATATATATCCAAAAATGTTTATAATTGATATTTAAACTGTAAGCAACTCCTAAACATCAATATCCTTTTATTTCTGATGACTATAATGGAAATAGGTTAGTTGCAGTACGTTTTTAATTATTCCAACTTCATAAAGAAAATTACTTGTTGACAAAAATTTACTTAAGTCAATTCCACTTACGAATGTATCGTTTGTAATGTAACATATGATCGAGCATATTAGAGTATTGATTTAATTAGCTAAAACGTCTGGGCAACATAGAGAGTAAAATAAATCAAACAGGCGGCTCACAAAAATATAGGCAGAATACTGAATTAGGATAAAACAGAGGTTTTACAAACAATCGTTTGTGGAAACATATAGGGTACGTTGACGGATCAGTAGTTCAATGTCTATAAATATAACTGCTTTCGAGAGTTGGGTCTCGATATCATATTAGGAGAAATTTTCGAAAAATATCATATTGGTATTAATGTTAAAAAATTTTAAACCATATCTTACTAGTAGACAACTAATGATCACTATTATTTTGTGAACTTAATCCGAAATGCATATGATATATTGAACCGTATTATTTTAGTTCTGAACTAATGATTTATTTATTCTATTTGAGGGCAATACATCAGTTCAAAATTGAATTTCCTGTGAAAAATAAAGAAAATGAAACTGGAGAAACTTGTCATTTGACACTTAAAATTATCATTTCTAAACTTACTTTCCCATGTTTCAGATCATCTTTCCAATAACCGACATATTTAGACCCATTAGGATAATGAAATGTTCCAAGTCCATTACGTTTACCATTTGCCCATTGACCATCGTATACATTGGGCAAAGAATATTGTGATGTTCGAACACGAAGAATATGCCACGCATGACAACCTAGTCCATTCTAAAAATGTAGAGATAGTGAACGTCACTTGATATTCGGTTTTTCAACAAAATTTCAGAATATCCTACTTAATTGTCAGTTCATAATATTTAATAAGGCTTAAAGTACTAGAGTGGCGTTGGATTCCTCAGTAGTTTATTTTAAAATGCTAATAAGTTTAGAGATTCGGTAAGATATCGACTCGAGGTTCTTAAATTCAAGAAGCACAGTTCATTTCGTTTTGGTTTAGATTTTATGCTCTTTTATTATTCATGACTCTGTTAAAAGTGTAAATCAGCATCTCTAAGGATTACAGTGAACTCTGTACTATGAAACCAGTTATTTGAAATTGTTAACTTCAGTTAGTCATTCATAATAATAAGGCTATTATCCGAGGCCACTAGATGACTGTTATAACTTGTGACCTGTGTGCCCTGCTAATGTATAACGTAACGATACTGCCAATTAGGGAGCAATGACTTATCGATCAGACCAATGACGCATAAAACCCGTACGAGCATTCTAGAGTACTTATTGGCCATGCTTCCTGTATAGCCCAGCCAGTTAAGTTCAGAACACTAATCCGAGCCTCTGTGATATGAATCATTTATTTCAAACATACTCGATTTATATACTAGTCAAACAGACCACATCATACCAATAAAATACGAAACAACATTTGTACAAGAACTAGCCAGACGTGGCTGTGAATGAGGGAGGTATTAATTAATATACTGGATGGTGAAACGTATTATAATAGTTTATGGGTCAAAATAAAGCTTATAATAAGAGGAATATGATTATGCATAGTTCAGCTACTTAATAATTATACAATAGAAATATACGTTTAGTATTGATCCATAAATGGATTCCAAAAGTTACAATTCATCATTCTTGTCGGGACATAACAATGACAAACCTAACTCCAAATTTATAATAATATTAAAAAACACTTAGATAACTAACAACTACATGTACGATATCGACTGTCTTTGAGACGGATTTTACGGGATTTTATTAGGAAGGTATGATTTTTAAAATCAACAAAGAATTAAGGATGATATCCATTGATAAGATTGGGTGATGACTGCATCATTTAAAAACCAGACTGGATTTTGAAAGTATAGCTGTCACAAGGCCTGAATTTCTCATATAATGTTCTGTTTGATCATAGGTGTACACTACTTTGAAGCCAAGAACTGGGACGAATAATCTGCGTGATATGATAACGTGAATCTCTGATAAAAATGATCCTCAACTACTCATCTCACTAATTATTTGCTTATTGCATATACTGTTACGTAAAAATTTAAGCACAGAAAAATTGCTCTTTAATCTGTGAGTATCGTTACCAACAAAATGGTGGCGTAATAAAATGTATTGGAATGGTGGAAATTTGTAGCTCAGGTAGATGGTTTATTTGGGGTTTTGTTCTCTGAAGTGGATGGTTTAGTAGTGAAGCTTTCATCGTTATTCTGAACGACATCATCAGCACAAACTTCAAATAGAAGTAGAATGTTCGAATTTCTCCACATATCAATCACAGTTTGTTCTGTAGACCTCGATCTTGATCGGTTGTTGTTGAGCTTCAATCTGTCATTGTTTACTTCTTTATTTTGGTTGTATCTCCATTTGATTTGATTCCTGGTCCCATATTTACCCATAATTTTCCTGATTGGTTGACAGATTGGGTCAATCTCAATGTGTTTGTTGATTGCTCATTGTGTTATGTGCAAATGATGAATAAATGTATGGTAACTTCCAGGAATTATTTCTAGACTGTTATAAATATATATATTCTTATCGCATAATTACTAAGTAAGTAGATCATAGATATTTATATTCACTTTATCATAAGTCTTCATTTGACCCATTAACTACTGTTATACGATTTACTGTTCTTAATTTATTCACAATCTATTGGTTACAGTTTGCGACACAGCCAATTTTAGCTTAATCCTGTATGATAATTACCTTTCGTTTTACGGTAGGATGCAGGTTGGTATGCTTATGTATAAACTACGTATGTCTGAAGCACATGATTCTTATAGTGGAGGCTGGTATTTCTGTTTTGGACTCAACGTGCTGGGTTAGGCAAGCAGCTACTATACATAGAACTAATAAAGAATCGGAGTTGACTAAAGGCTGCTCGTACTGGTTAACGAATTATTTGTTCGGCACAGGGAAAAAGTCATAGAAGTTTGTATTTTGATTGATGGTTTTGTCACGTGATATTTGACGGGCCGTATGACATAATAGATTGACCAAACCATCCAGCTCAGAGAACAAGTGTTATCTATTTATATAGATAAAATACGGTTGTGCAAAAACAAAAATTCCTCTGTTTTCTAGTGACTTCTCATTTCGAAGTTAATGATGTAAAATTCCTCCTTTTACAAATGTTATATTATTCTAATTCACTGCTGTTTATCCCTAACACTGTCTTGCCTGGACAAAGTCATTTTATCATAAACAATATATGTGATAATTAAATTTGAAATAATCTCAAATATTGAAGATTAAATAATTCTAACATTTCGTCCAGAAAACTATTTTGGACTTCTTTAGGGTAATACTAGGCGCTCAGTTTTTGTCAAACTATTGGTTTTAATTTTATAGTCGAGTTCCTTTGAGTAATTTGCTATCTGGCTTACGATATGAAGCTCAAGATATCTAAGTCAATTTAATTCATTTAAACAGACTTTTTCGCTATAAACCAAAAAGTTTAAAAAATAGGTGTATACATTCTATAAATATTTCATATCAAAATTGTATTTTTACTCTAATAGTAGACTAATAACATAGTAATTCGACAACCCAATTTAATTTTCTTTAGTTCAAATGAAGAAAAATGTCTATATTTCTTACAGCTCAAAAGTTATATTTACTTGTTTTCCATCAACCCAACTTCCAGTATAAATTTCATCACGATCACTCCAGTGCATTGTCCCTTCTCCATGACGTTTACCATCTTTCCACTGACCCTCATAAGTTGCCCGGTTAGAGTAGTGATACACTCCGTAACCGTGACGTAGTCCAGAGTCCCATTCACCGTCATAGTGAATAGAACCATCAGTCGTGTAGTTTAAACGACCCTGAAATTTGAAGTTAAGCGTTTTTATAGATTATACGGCAATAAAATGTTTAGCCAGGTATTTAATTTTGCATGAAAATGTTAATTAAATGATGTATTATAGGGTTTCACATTGAGCATCACCTAGTTACATTATTTTTCCTATTCAGAAAAACCATATCTGTTGTGACACCTAAAGTCTAGTGGTTGACTGGCAGTGTTGACGGTTTTATAATTGCTAGCTCAAGTGTTGTCCTGTTCAAAACACAAGTGTTAGTTTTAGAGTTAGCACCTTTACAGCGGTAACATTACATCAATACATCATTTAACTAGTAAATTCGAGAGGAAATCGGAGTAGTTATCTATGAAATTGTATAGAATGAGAGAGTTGCTAGAGACTAAAGAGTAATTAGTTAACTTATAATCTTATTTCATATAGCCGCATCAATATGAAAATAGCTAAATTCTAAACCAACTGAAAATTCATCGAGGTTTTCATGAAGCTCTTTAATTGTTGCGCTAACAAGGTTTGAATAGTTTTGCAGAGATTTTGGTTTTCAACAAAAGCCTAAATACAATGGTCAGTAACTTTAGTATTAAACAAATAGCTATATGCTTCGACGCTTTATTTATACTATTTTTTTTCTTTCTCACTAGTGAACTGAAATTTTGTGTAAATGAGGCATTTTACAGATATTCAATAGCAGTGATATTTACTAAGATGGTGTATATTTATTAAAGTTTGTTTGATGTTCCGTTATTTATCTTTTCCAAATAAAATTTCTAGTTACTTCATAAAACGTAATTATTATCCAGTTAAGGCGAGAATAAATAGCGGATTATTGGTTTTGTAACTTGGAATTTCGCTTAATAGATAAAAATATTGCAGTTTACTCGAGATTGTTCTTTGAAATCGGATAATTCTGGACAAATTTTTTAATGTTATTATATATATGGAAATGTACTTACTTTTCCTTGTTTCTTTCCGTTCTTCCACTGACCAGTATATTGGAGACCATTGGAGTCAGTGTATGTGCCAAATCCATGTCGGATCCCATCAACAACATCACCAATATATTCACTAGATATTTAGTAAAACATAGTTATTTCTCTATAAGAAAACCTTTTATTCGGCCAAATAATTTTTCCACGCCCAGTAATTTTATTTTCTTTAAAGTCGCCAATATACACCAATCCTGTTTCATCCCAGTGAAATTCACCGTGACCATGTAGCATATCATTGACGATTTTTCCCTTTTTTATGTGAAGGAAAATTTAGGGAATCTGTAACAATTTGGTTTCGCATTTTTACGTGAAGTATAAACATCTAGATAACAGATAAAATGGTTATTACTAATTAAATGATCCATAGATCAAGATAGTGCTTATAAGAAAGTTTGTGAGTTATCTTTGGTGTCTATTTTCTCACAAGGCTTCGTGAGTTTAGTCTTGCTTACGTGTTAACTGAGTAAGTTTTCAATGAATAAACTGGAAGGTATTTATTATCGGTCATTTAAAGATGAACTACCTTAGTTTTACGTGGATATGGTTTTAAAAACAATAGAAGAACGTTAATATTTATTTTTAAGCTCTAGTAAACAAACCAGTGTATTATGAGAGTTATGACTATCGGTCAATAATTAAATAGCCTCAAGCACTCGATGTTCAGTTGCCTTGACTAGTAGCCACATTGCAATTTGATTGGTAGGATTTAATCTAAACTAAGAAAGACTTTACATATATGAAATTAGTCACTACCCAGTGATCAATCAATTGCAAAGACGTCTTAAGCACAAGCAGTTGTGTAAATGTTTCTTCAATCAAATGCATGTGAAGATAGAAACAACATAGAATTTAACTGAACTGTGTATTAGTTCTAGTTGGTGTTAACTCAGGAAGAAAATATGCCAGCTATGGAGAAGCAGAAGAGTAAAGACAGTAATAATAAAAATGTGAGATTTCTGAGACAAGAAAAAAGAATAGACAACGGACAAGCGAAACTAAAAAGTAGAATAATGTCGAATAATTTCACATCAAACACATAAAAATAAATGGAAAGTGTTTTTATGTCATTCACGCAGACCAGTTTTGGCCATATCACCTAAAACTTTTACTATTGTTTGATGGCATGTTTTTAATTTGGTAGTAATTACTGCAACTTCATAAAATTCTGATCTGGTTATCTTTGATATCCTGTGAAAACAACTAGTAACCTGGCACTGTATAAAATAACAAACACAGATACAACTCGATATTAGGAAGATGGAAGTGCTGTATATGAAGGTTTGCTGGTAACATAAAATATACCCACAACAGACGCAACCATCAATTTCATAATTGATCCAAGAACTTTATCAAATACACTGAATTATATATGATCTACTTGTCTAGCCAGTAGACTGATTTGAATACGTTGAGTTAAGATATTGTTGATGTAGATTATCGAGTAACTATATGCGTGAGTAAAGTTTAAAACGACAGTTTTAAACTTAGTATCCAACAGTACAACAAATTACTAAGTCACATAAATAGATTGTGCGGAAATAGTTAAGATGAGGCTAATTTGTAAACAAATTTTGTCATTCTTTATATTTTACCTTAACTTCATTTGAGGTATATAAACAAAATGTTGACTAGAAAAGTTTTTAAAGTACGCTGTAGCAACGGACTGGCCAGTGGATACTAAGTCATCAACTGAAGAAACATGGCATATACTTAAAGGCACATTTAGCTGTAACATCCGCATTTTTACCGTGCTTTATACCATGTAGACACTATAACTGTCCATTATAGATAACTAAAAACGTCGAGAAACATTTTAGACGTAGACAAGGCATTGAAGCATGTTTATCTCAACAGGCTTTGAACAGTATAGACCCACTTACCGTAAGACTAGAAGGACATGTAATGCATTTGTAGGCTAGGATTTTGTATGCAAAACAATTGCTCAGAGGTTGTGAAAATAGTTCGAAAATGTTACTGTCGCATATAAAAAGAAAACTCAAAGAAGTGATGGGATCCGCCTGAAGCATCGCCAAAGTATTTGGTTGAAAAAATGTTTTCTACACATGACGGTAAAAGAAACTGTTAATTGCAATAATGGCAATTTTTGGATGGATCCTTTGATTATTGAAAAAAAGTTGTCCTACGATTACATTGCCGTCTCAAACCAGATAAATCTGGTGCTCCTGATGATAATCATTTTTTTATCATGGAAGCCCAGGAAGATATTATTTCAGAATTACTTACAACACTGTGTAGCATATCTCTAAAGCAGTCTAAATTATCAAGAGACTAAGAAGACGCAGCAATCAGCTTGGTTAATAAGATGGGAGAGGTACATACTTAGATAGTAGTTTTCGGCTCGATAATCTGGTCAATTCACTTGTAAAACTGTTGGAAAAGACTCCTCAACAGCTAATCTAAATTATGTGGAATCTAGTGATTATCTAGAGAAGGGAAAACATAATTTTGGAAAGGCTTTTGATATTTGACAAATCTCATTTCAAGAGAGGAGTGGGATACATCCGAAAACAGTAAGATTCCGAAAAATGTAATTTTCATAGATATAAGTAAGGCCTTGAACAAACCTTTTAGTTAGGTCTTAGAGTAAAACTGGAAAGTTCGGGAATCTGTTACAGAGTTAAAAATTTGACAAGTAAATTTCTGATTGATAAGAGGCAATGGGTAAGGGTAAAAATGTGCTTATGAACATGGGGATTATAAATTTTAGAGGTTATAATTAACATAATACCAAAACTTTTTCTAAATATATTCAAAGCACAATTGGACCTTCACAGTGGTATCAATTGGGAGGACTAATTAAGATCGTTTGATCTATTATCTTCACTTCTGGAAAGTTACAACTGATGAGCGAAATGACTTATCTTAACGGCTGTAATTCTGTTACATTTATTTCCGATTTCTACCTAAATGTTTAGCTTTCTTCCACTTAGTACTTCTCATCCTTTCATATCATTTGTTTTTAGTCTAGTTTTCCTCAATCACTATGCTAAACTAAAGTATATCGGCTTCAATTGATACTTATTTGCGGTATATAACAGTATTCTAAAAGTAAACACTGACACGTTTCAGTAACACAGGTTGTATCACAAACTTCGACATTCCAGAAATAACGAAGTAAGCAATTAAAATACCAGCAACTATCCCATTTTATAAGATATTCCATCGATTCAGGGGAAATTTGAGAAATGGTCAACAAGTAACTTTGGTATACCTGAAAATACAACTCCCAAACTAAACCTGGTCAGAGAAGGTCTTTCTCTTGAAGTTTAGACGTACTATAACAAAATCTATACAACACGACTTAAGAGTTTCACGATTTTCTGGTACTTCTGAGGAATCGTCAGGACTTTATCTTGAAAAATGCCTCTATCTACTCGTAATTAATAATTAAATATTCTATTAGTTAGATAATACAACCAGAATATTATACAACAGCGAACCTCGAATGTATTTCCATTTTCGTATTCTATTTCATTTACTATTCCAAATGTCTTTTTGAATTCACGAGAACACCTTTAACTCATAAAAACTTCAGAAAACTGTACTTGCGAAGTATTTGTGGATATAAATCGAATAACTGCACATAGTTGTTCAAATCTTCGTCACTTGCGCTGAGAGTTGACAGATATTTATCATGTGTATCTTCTTCTCCCTCTAAGTTAACAATATTTTCTTCATCATCCAATATCTCAATTTTCGGAGTTGGTGGGCTTGTCATTTTAAATCTGCAGACGGAATTTTACCATGACATTTTGAAGACAGCAAGTTTAAACACTTGCATATAGAGACATTCCTATATGTGTCACTCCATCAACGACGGAAGAAATCACGATGGCCATCAAACAAATGAAGAATGGGAAAGCATAAGGACCTGACAATATGCAAGCTGGAGCTCTGAGGTCAGATATAAATGTAAGTGCATACATGCCCCATATTCTATTCAAAAAGCTTTAGAAGGAGGAACAAGAGTCGACAGACTGGAAAGAAGGATACATGATCAAAATACCGAAGAGAGGCAATCTGAGCGAAGGTGAGAAATGTAGAGTCATCACACTGCTATTAGTACAAAGAAAGTGTGGCCCCTGGACAAACATCCTTGATAGCAAGGGGAAGGTTGATGTCATATACCTTGAGTTCTCAAAATATTTAGTCTTCAGTCTTCAGTAATAAGGATAGGAGGTCTGTCGACCTATATTAATCCTTGCAGTTTGTAATACAGTGGAGGTCCAATCTCGTTTTGAATATATTAACAGATGGTGCTGATATTACGTGTTCCGGTAGAGAATTCCAGTAATTCACTACTCGGTGCGAGAAACGGAACTCCAGGCGTAAACGGTTTGATCTCGGTTTTTGAACTTTCTTCGAATGTCCTCTCAAATGATCGGTTCTAGACGGGAGCAAAAGATAAGACATGTTAATACCAAGGTCATCGTTCAGTATACGATAGGCCAATATTAGATCACCCCTTATTCTACGGTAAGATAATGGAAATAAGTTAAGGTGTCTCAGTCTGTCTTCACAAGATAGGCCAGATAGACCTTGTACCATCTTAGTAGCTCGTCGTTGGACTCTTTCTAGCATATCTGCTTCATATTTGAAACAAGGACACGCTGCTTGAATCCCGTATTCTAAATGTGGTCGCACATAAATCGGGTATAGTAATCTAAACATTTCATCATCCAAATACTGGAAAGACCTACGAATTGACCATAATACCCTATAGCCTTTCGCAGCAGCAGCCTTACAGTGACTAGTCGTTTTGAGATCATTGCTTAATATGACTCCTAAATCTTTATAGTTTCTTACTTTTGGTAGCACGAATCCACGTAGTGTATAGTCATACGATTCATCAGAGTTATTTAACTGCATTACTACACTCTTATTAGGATTTACTTCTAGTGACCACCTATCTAACCATGCCACCAATGAGCTAAGATCGTCCTGTAATACTATCCTATCCGACATACTATGTATGGGTCTCCAAATCTTTATGTCATCAGCGAAGAGTAGAACGGATGATTTTGCTACAGTTGGCAATTCATTTACATAAAGTAAAAAGAGAAGAGGACCCAGGATTGTACCTTGGGGAACCCCACTTTTTACAGGTATCCACGAGGAGAGAGTCCCATTAACCCTTACCCTTTGTCTCCTGTCATGGAGAAAGTTACTTATCCAATCGACGACTGTATAATGGATTCCAAAACGTTTCAGTTTGAATTTAAGACCAGAGTGGGAAACCTTATCAAAGGCTTTACTTAGATCTATGAAAATCACATCCACAGGAGCATTTAGTTAGGGTCAACCATATATGTCCTATCAATAAGCTCAAACGATTGAGTATTTAATCGCCTCTAAGTGATTGGCTCAATTCATACATGAAAAATTGATATATTGTCAGTGTTAACTTCACTGACCCTCAAGTTATGGAATGTCTTAGTGGGGTTCCACATCGTTCAGTACTAAGACTTCTTATTTTCTTGATTTGTATAAACGGTCTTCCACGACTTATTGCTTTCTGCTGGTGATATGAAACACTGGAGAGATAAAAAACCAAGAGGATATACCGGCACTTCAGTTTACCGATCCTATCAAGACCTTAACCTAAGTTGAGTCATGTTCTCTCCTACATATTATTTGACAAACGGATTAAGGACGTAAAGATTTTTAGAGGCAAAGTGGTTGAAGTGTCAATTATCAAATGTTATCTTTGTTTACATGTTAGATGGATTATAAATGTTACCAAATCCTTAAAATCTCTCAAGTGGTTGGTGTAGGTGATCAATATGTCCATCGAGCAGACTGCTGGCCAGTTATAATAATGGCATAAAATGGCCGATTTAAGCTGGTTAGCTGTTGTAGATGTGGAGCACAGCGTACCCACTCGCGATCTAATGTGGATGCATGACCGAGCGCCTTCAGATATGTGAGTCCGATAAAACTAGTGTGGTCAGTATCGAATGTCGAAGACTTGTAGAGCTATTGATTTCGGAGATTTTTTATTTACTGCCGCATGTTTTAACGTTGAATCAGTTCTACTTATAGGTATCATTACCATGGTTTGGTATGATAATTTCGAAGAAATTGGGCATTGGGTTTATTGTTATAAATAAAAATAATATATTTGTAATACACTAAGTCAAGAAACGTCAGAAAATCTAGTTTTCTACTCATTAGGATATTACAAATATATTATTTTTATTTACAGTTCTACTTAGTTTGCTTGCTACATGTGTCATTCAAGTCGTATTATTACAATTAGTTAATGCAACAATGGTTTCAAAAAAACTTTTTCATCAACAATATTTGTTTTCTAATTTCTCTCAAATCAGGAGTTTTATCACAGATAAAAGAGTTCTAAAACGATTGAATGTTTCATAAGGCTTTTTGCGCAAGTAAATATCAATAAAATGTCAGCTCATCAAAAGACCAATGTTAAACGATGTATTATTTAGTCACTTCAAATAGGACACTGAATAACCTTGATAACACAGAAAGATTAATAGTACTGAGTGTAGTAATGATATAGAAGTTCTCTGATCTGTCCCAAACTTATTGTCATTGCTAAAAACAGGTCAGCTCACAAAGACTAAACATAAACCGTAAATGAATGTGAAGGTATTATGTTATAGTCAGGACATTTGTGTAATAAAATACAAAGCATTTTCATTTCGCATTACCTCCACAAAATGCTGATTACAATGAATACGCAGAAAAGATTTTCATTTGATTGGTAGCACATTTGTGACCTATTCTAGGTTTATTGAACATTTTGACTGCTTGAACAATTAATTTGAAGTGTTTCACATCTTCAAATTAAAGTGTACTTAGCCCTTTAGGATTAAGAACTCTGTTCATTAGATTTCATGTTTACAGGCGTTTAGTATTTGATTTTCCGGCACATCATTCATCAATTAGATCTGCTGATAAATTAACGTTAATAAATTACGTACTACACTTATCATCGTTGTATCCTACCTACCCATTCTTGATACCAAGCTCAGTGTGTTTACACACTATTATGATGTTTTATTAATGTGAATCTAATCTTCGTGTTCTATCTTGAAATAAATTGAAATTAAACATTACATTCGTGTTATTATCACCGCATTGATGAATAAACATTTATAAAGTAAATAGTTGTCCAATACTATCTAAGACGTACAGGCAAAGCGATCCAGATAGACAAAAGAAATTCATGAAGTGAAAATGTACAGAGCTTGCTCAGAAAGATCAACAAGAAGGGATACTGCCGATATTAAGAATTAATATTAGGCCTTATTGCTGGATAAACAGGGTGATCTTATCCGCAACGCAACCATGTAAACTTAATGTACCGGTCATCTTTGCGTTCAAGTAACCACAGATTTTGACATTTCATAATGTATTTTTAATTAAATAACTAGATTATATAGCTAATTTTGATCTTTTTTTATATTTTTATTCGCCACGTTCGACTGCGTTACACTGCACGTCCATTGCATACTGGGATGATATCTCAAGTCATAGTGAGTTTATTCACATAGTTGATTGTTTCCAGATAGACTGTCAGTGCATGATTTTACTGTAGAAAGGTTTATTGTACTATAATCTATGTTTTTATGAACAACTGCTTGTTGTCGTCAGTCGGAAAGCAATATATATATATTCTTTGTCTTCTGTTCGGTAAGTTCAATTGGCCTATATTTCGTGTTTTTGTTTTATCGTCTTAATTATGTCCATTTAAATACTTTAAGCAATATGCCTGTGCAAATGAAACAATAACTATGACACTTGCTTAGTTTAGTATTCTTGGTTGTCGTATAATTCAGTTTAGTTGAAAGAATTATGGTATACTTAAGTATAGTGCTTGAAGTCTGTAACGAAACAGATCAGCCTAGTAAGTAGAGTTGCCTGTTTCTGATGAGTATACTGATTCAAATCAGTCTGATTAAAAATAGGAAAAAAGTGCTTTTGGTACTGTTGCTGTCATACATTATAAGATAGCGATAAGTATGTTTGGTGTTTATTTCTAGATTGTACATCTATCACTGACCATATTTCATGATCACTGTCATTAAACAATTTCCCCAGCAATAACATCGGTAGCAGGATAGCTAAGTATCTGAGCTTTTATTTGCCCGTAGAAGAGCAGTATACAGTCTTAGAAGATGAGTGTTCTGTATTTCAATTAAATGCAGTTGGCTGTGGACAAATGTTAAGAATCTTTTTGACTACTAGGACTTTTAGTTCATCGAACACTAACTCTGCTTGTATGTCTCCCTGTTAAACTAGATGCAGATACATGGTAATACTTAAATGAGAGCAAAATAATAAAAGCATTGAGATACGGTATTAAGTCCATGTTATGCTTTGCACAATAAATAGCTGACCTGACCTAATATTCATGAACTAAAGGTAAATCACAACTGCATAAATTCTTTGCTAAAATACATGTAATTTGGTTATTTATCTATTCCACATTTCTGACTAAATTCATTACTGTTTTCTCATTTAGAATGCAACAGGACTGAGTCTTCACAGATGTTAAGAACTGTTTCGCCCTTAGAACTATGGCCCTATGGATCTGTTTACGGGAGACCCAACTAACAGCAGATTATAAAAAGGATGCTGGATGTCCATTTTAATCTCACAACCACTTCCAGTACTTTATGAGTTACTTATTTTACCCTTTCGTTTGGAAAAAACAACAAAAACTGAAGCTTAACATTACAAATGCAA